CAAAGTTCAGCTTTCCAGAGATTCACAAAGTCCTGGTCATTCGTGGGAACTCTTTAGAAATGCGGATGCTAACATTAGCGTTAGCATGTTTGGTATTGCGATGCTATTTTAGGTTTGAACAGCTTTGCTGACAGGCTAACTCCTTTTCCAGTTTTTGTAGCAAAAATTGACCCTGAGTGGGTCAATAGAAGCAGTTTTGTTTTCCACTGCTGTTAGCGAGTTAGCCATTAGCGAATCAAATTTACGGGCGTACCAGAAACGCTGCACAAAGTTCCAGCTTGAGACTTTTTTGCTTTAATAGAAAAAAATTCAGTTAATTGCGCTAAAATGTTTCAACGGGCTGTATTATAGTATCCAGGAAGTACCTTTAGTTGTTGAAAAATGTTACATATATCAAATAATGCTTTGACTTTGAAATTTATTGGATCTCTGTCTCTTTAAAAACTCCTGCTCTTTCTGAAACCCCTCCTTCAGGAAGTCATCACAACATGGCTCCTCCATTAACCTTTAACAACATTTTTACCAGCATTTCACTAAGAATAAGCTCAGCAGTTCCACCAGGTGTTTGCTAATTGCTGCTGGCTAGTCTGAAGGAGCAGCCAGCAGGAGGAGCTATGTCCTCTGCGATGATAAGGAATCGCAGAGGATGTGGATGTGCCGGTGGCCCTCAGGGAGCTCTTTATGTCGCTCTGGTCCAGGTTAATCTGACTTTTTCTCCCTCATTAATCAAAGCAACTTTAATTGACTATTGATGAGTGCTTTAAGCCGATGCTGCGTCTTTGCTTTCGGGTTAACGCCGCTGTCTTTTTGATCCATTGCTCACTGTGGAGCACAAAATGAGTAAAAGTCTGCATCTTACTCAACTTTCAGTTAATATTAATGTTTTCCATTAGAGTAGAAAAGGAGCTAAAGTTTGACAGATGTGTTCATCGATCCTTCTTCAGAGTCAATGAGGTTCTCAGCGAAGTTTCATTTCATTGTCGTTTATCCTGACACTTCCTACATTGGTTCATGTAGGTTGTTTCTCCCCTGGCGCCTGTTAAGTTTTCTCTTTGCCTAAATTAATCTCCTGCCTTTTCGACTGCTGGGTGATGCAGCGGTAATGGAGACATAAATTTCTCCCGAGCGCTCTGGGCCTCTGAAGCGGAACCGAAAGGTTGCTTAAAAGCGCAGATCGATGTCGATTCCTTCGCGTTCCCTTTTAACGAGGAGGAAAATGTGTGCAAGTGGAACATTCTGCATTTAGAAAGCTCGTTAATTTAAAACCGTTTTTAGTATTTAACCAAACGATCAAAGATGTTTTATAAAACTTTGAGCTAATAACTGTTACACTGTAAAAAAAAATTACCTCAAAAGAAGTAAGCACAAGATTAGTGAATGAGAAAACTTAATTTATTTTAAGTACAACTAACGGAAAAAATTCAGTTCAAATCAAACAAACCAATTTTCTTGAAGGAGTCTTTCCTCTTTCTCTCATTTCTTTTTTTGTAATTAAGGTTTTATTGGCCCTCTGTTCACATAATTATGAATTACATCAAATATTTTAAATAAATAATGTATAAAAATATTCTGTCTGATGAAATACACAGTAAAGATGAACTCAGACCATCTCTGTCGATTATCTCTTTCGTCGTGAGTCAGATTGGAGAAATTATTGGATCCAGAAAAGAAAAAAAAACTCAGGTAAAGTATTTATAGTTGGATAAATTCACAAAAAAGTACAATTATTAAGAACTTTCTTTTTTTTATTAGATTAAGTGTAATTAATCATGATTACATTAAAGAATTTTGTGGAAATGCTCAAAAGCAACTCTCACAAACGTTTAAAAACATTTCTGCCAAATTGAGAAAATTATTTCAAGTTTTGTTGTTTCCACCAACTTTTTCTGAAGTAAAAAATTCAAAGTGAGCTTAAAAAATATTGACAGAAAAAACAGTTATTCTCTAATACGGGGGTGTCCAAACTGCGGCCAGTGGGCCATTTGCGGCCCCTGGATTGATTTCATGCGGCCGTCGACTGCGATTCAAGAATGGCACAAATTGTTACATTTCTTTGGGATGAGAATTTCCACTGCAAATCAAAGATTTTTTATTTTACTTGTATAATTTAGTTTTTGTCTCACAATAAGTTGAGTTTTTACTCAAAAAACAGATTTTGACGAAACCCATTTATTATATTTGACTAAATAGAACAAAGTTTATAGAAGAAGATTCTTTTTAGGACCATTTTTTTCAGTGTGCAGAAGGAAACCAGCATTAAAACATCCAAACGTCTCCAAATAGCTTAATCATGAATATTTCATAACTACGTGATGCTTTTGGTTTCTCTCGTTGCAGTGGCTCTCAGGATCTCTTCACTGCAAATTCGATTTTTTGTCACTACAAATTCAGTATTTCAAACAGGATTATCACCGTTTTGTTTTTGTAAATCCGATATCTTCTGTTTTCACTAAACGAGCCACAAGAAGAACGTGACGCAACAAAAACCTTCAGATTCGCAGATGTTTTGATGCATTAAAAAAGTGTTTAAAAAAACAACTGAAATGTCCAAATTTCTAATTGCTGGTCTTTTATTTCCAGTGGATTTAAATACTTTTCAAAAGCAGAAGATATTAAACCCTGTTGCTTTAAATGCAGGCGCAGCGCTGCATGTTGGCCGAACCGCAACAGGCTGAACTCAACAGATGGATGGACGCAGGGCTCTTGGCACCTCGTGTGTGTTTGTGTGTGAACCTAATTTATTACTGTACAAACGTACAGATCTTTCTCTTCAGGGTGACTTCCTTCCATTATCTGTCTCCCCCCTTCAGGCTAAAGATAGAAATGAATCATTTCAGTTTGATGAAATCCACCAGATTTAAACAGATTATCAGAAATCTCACAAACAAAAAAAAAGTGGATATGTTGACGTTAGTGTTTAACACAAATATTAGTGGCTTGTAAAAGAGTCTAAATCCCTTAAGTCAGATTCATTTTGTCATTTTGAAACAAAGCGTCAGCACGTTTCATTAGTTTCATTAGTTTTATTAGTTTTATTAGTTTTAACATCACACAGGAACACAATGTAGTTCATAGCGATGAAGTGAAAGTGAAAGACACATTTGTGTTGAGTTCTCTTCTTATAAATACATAAATAAAAAATGAAAATTAAGAAGTACTTGTTCTATTGGCAGATAAATTCAACAATCTGCCAGTTTAACTGGACATTTTTCATCAATAAAGGAATTATTTAATTAAAACTAGTCTCTATATTTTGCTAAAAGTTGCTTTTAAGATAGTTTGTCTAATTTCCAGATATTTACACCAGAGACTAGACCAAAAATACTTGGTAAGATGTGTTTTTGCAGCGTTAATGTTATATTATGTTAAGTTACGTTAAGATGTTGTGTTTTTGCTGCGTTTACGTTAAGATGTTGTGTTTTTGCTGCGTTTACGTTAAGATGTTGTGTTTTTGCTGCGTTTATGTTAAGATGTTGTGTTTTGCTGCGTTTATGTTAAGATGTTGTGTTTTTGCTGCGTTTATGTTAAGAGGTTGTGTTTTTGCTGCGTTTATGTTAAGATGTTGTGTTTTTGCTGCGTTTATGTTAAGATGTTGTGTTTTTGCTGCGTTTACGTTAAGATGTTGTGTTTTTGCTGCGTTTACGTTAAGATGTTGTGTTTTTGCTGCGTTTATGTTAAGATGTGTTTTTGCTGCGTTTACGTTAAGATGTTGTGTTTTTGCTGCGTTTATGTTAAGATGTTGTGTTTTTGCTGCGTTTATGTTAAGATGTTGTGTTTTTGCTGCGTTTATGTTAAGATGTTGTGTTTTTGCTGCGTTTATGTTAAGATGTTGTGTTTTTGCAGTAAGATGTTGTGTTTTTGCTGCGTTTATGTTGAGATGTTGTGTTTTTGCAGTAAGATGTTGTGTTTTTGTGGAGGTTATTGCTATTTAAATGGACTCTGTGTGTTTGTTAAATGAGGTAAGACACCCTCGGCCTGAAATCGTGTCGCTGCTACAGAACAAGCAGAAGAAAAAAGCGATAGAAACAAGTGTTCCTTCCAGCAGCAGCAGGTCTTCACAGGTTGTGACATTTCCAACTTTACCAACGCCTCCATTAACATTGTGATGGCTCTGCAGCCTGAACTTCAGGGGGGAAGGCGGGACAAAGAGGAGCCAAAGGCTTCAGCGTGAATCTGAAGGTCATGCAGCAGTGGGAGTCGTTTCAGGTCGAGGTGTGTTATTCTTTTCGCTGCTCTCTCCTGAAAGGTTAATCGGCGGTGAATATAGACTGAGAAAGTCTGAGGAGGCAGAAAATAAACTGATTTTTTAATGTGTCCCTGAAGTACTTGTGCTGTTCTCCCTGGCAGACGAAGCTCTTGGCAGTCGCTTGACGCCTGAGCAGCCGCTGCTGCAGCTTCGCTTCACTTACGTCCAGAGACATTTTGCATTTCAGAATGTTTTTGCGGCTACAGGTGCAGCTTTTCTGTGGATTTTTCCTCAACCACTAGGGGGAGCTCTTTAGCATGAAGTGAATAATTGGAAGTCAAAATTGGAAATCAAAGAAGAAAATGTTCATTTTCATTTAGAGCTAGCAGCAGGCACGACGGAGAAATGTTTTCAAACCAACACGAAGAAGTTCATATGATGCAGCTTTTAAGACTCTGACATTTGTTTTGTTTATTTTAGTTTAAAATGTCTCCCATTTGCAGAGTCTGAAGTTTATAAAATTTTGAGAACGTGTTGTTGTGTTACTTGAAAATGGTCTCAAAACATCATTATTATCGTTTATCGCGATAACGTCTGGGATGATTCCTGTGTGATGGTCCTTATTTTTCCTGAGAGTCATAAACAGGATGTTTAGATCTGAGAATGTTTGTAAAATGTTTCTCTGGTTGAGTTGCTGCTTCAGTTGATCGTTCTACCGGCTACCCAGCAAAAAGGAAACACTTTTTTAAAAAAAGTACATAAGGAGATTGGTCTTGTATTTTTAACTTTCCTGCTCGTCTTTGTCTCGCTGCAGTTTGACATGCAGCGGATCACCCTGGAGGAGCTGAAACACATCCTCTTCTACGCTTTCCGCGATCACCTGACCATGAAGGACATCGAGAACATCATCATCAACGAGGAAGAAAGCCTGAAGGAAAACTCCGGGAACTGTCAGACGGAGTTTGAGGGAGGTGAGTGAAAGTCCCTGGGCTAATTTCACACGCAAGCGTTTCATGTGTCGCAGGCAGGCGCTGGGCGCCGCGTGGGCAGAGAGAGGGAGGAACTTATCCCGGCTGTCAGGAAGGATTTAAGCTTTCCCATCAACGTCTCCAGCCAACAGAGTCCCAGCACACCTGCTGATTTATTGATTTGTGAGGACGAGTGTCAGCTGGTCAGCTGTTCAGCCGTGGCTCGCATGAAATATGCATGACTCCTCTCTGCACCAACAGACATCCAAAATTTATGGATGCCAGCGCAGCAGAGGACTCACTCTCTCTCTCTCTCTCTCCATTAAAACAGCGAGTGCCATTGTTTCTTCTAAGCTAATTATCATTCAGCTTTTTGAAATGCCAGCTTTCAATTCAGATCCAGTGACTCAGATCCAGTCTGAATACATTTAAAAAAAAAAACGACGACTTGTAAATATTAGCCACAGAAGAGCAGATATTTCAGGAAATACGTTTTGATGTTCCAGCTCTTAATCTCAAAGGATGAACTGCAGCAGTTTGTTTCCTAAAGGTACAAAGACAATCAATATCCACAGTGAAATGAGACCAAAAAAAAGCTTTTTACTGCAAATCTCTGTATTTTTAAAATACAGATTAAGTATTTTTGTTGGGTAAATATCTTAGTACGCCTGAAATAAGACAAAATTAACTTAGAAGTAACTGTTCAGACAGACATAGAAGCTTACAACTTACAACAAACTCCCACATCCGGAAAACTAACTTTCAAGGTAGTTTTTTTTTTTTTTTTTTTTGTCAAACTTTTAAACACTTCTGGCAGAAACCAACTGACCAAAAACATTTTCTTAGTTATTTCACAGTTCTGAAATGTCATTTTTTGATGAAAATACATGAGATCATTCAGTGTGATTGATGTGTTGTCATCAATCACAGCATTAATTTATTAACACCATGAAACTGGATGGCAAAAAGACGCTGAGTCAGAACGTTTATTTAACCTTTTCAAAATTGTTAAAATATTAATAAAAGCTGTTTATATTTGATAAGTATTTCTGAAAGTCAAATAATGTTGAATATCTTTTCTCATTGATCAGTTCCTCCATGACTTTGATTTTTGTTTTTTTTTGCAACAAAAATCAATATTTCCACTTTGTGACATTTTTTTACTCGCCACATCGATTATAGCTTTGCTACACTGCTGCTGCACCAGGTGAGGCTGAGGCAGCAGTGTAAAAGTAAAACGCTGCCACCTGCAGGTGGGAGTCAGCATCACTTAGCTGCAATATTTTATTGGGAAAATTTACAATGCATTCACAGTGATAAATTAGTGTGAAACACTGGAGGGACTGATGGATGTGATTTGGCATCTGGAGCTGAAAGGGCCACATAAGAAGCTGCAGCGGGCCGGATTTGGCCCGCGAACCATGATTTAAGGCGTCTGCATTTCCAGTGAAATTCCAGTCTTTTGCTTTTCATTTATGATTATCTATGTTTCATTTTTAGAGGAAAAATGAATAAAGTCTCTATAATCGCCACCTGAATGAGAGTTTCTCAATGAGTTTTACCAGATCATCACCAGAGGAGCCAAAATTGGACTGAAGTAAAAGTAGAAATTACTCAAGAGTAAAAAGTATTTGGTAAAAAGTGCTGAGTAGCTGATCAAATCATCAATCAGTTAATGTTTAAAAATTGCATCATCAGACAGATCAAAATATAAAGTTAAGTGGAAATTTTGGTATTTTAGAAACCAAAATGACAATAATTCATAAATAAGTAACCAAAAAATGGAAAATAAGATGTTTCCAAATCAATTTCTGTCAATAAAAAAATTGGATTTCTGGTTAAAACGTTTGATTTTTCATTCAGTGGGAAGAAAATCCTGAAATTTTACTTCATGGTAGATAAAATTACTTAAAATACAGCAAAGTAAAAATACTCTTTCCAAAAAAGTTACTCCAGTAAATGTAAGTAGTTACTGCCCAACTCGGACCAGCACCGAGTGAACCGAGCTGTTCTGAAGCGAGGTCCAGATTTCACCAGCGCTTCATCAGATCCATAAAACGGCTGCAGGACGACATCAGGACGCTTCATGATGACGGACGACCGCCGCAGACCAAACTGTCCGTCGGGTCCATCAGAACCATCTGGCGCTCACAAACACCAAAATGTGCTCAGTCATGGAGCAATCAATGCTTTGTGTCACAGCGCGGTTCTTCCTCGACCCGATCCATCATCTCCTCCAGCGCTCAGGACTTCAGCCGGCTGATATATGAAGAAGCATGAAAGGAAGTTTGATTTCCCCGCGGCTTCCCCACAATCAATACGGTGAAAAACACCGGCATACAGAGTTTAACAGAAACCCACCAGCCACTGATTCATAGCTGAACAAATTGTTCTGATGGCAGAAAGCAGGGAAAACATGCCGGGCAGCAGATGTCCAGTCAAAGCCTGCCACTTCCAATCGGCGCCATTGCTTCTATGTATTTAATGATTTATAGATTTGGTTTCGCACCTCATCAACCAGCTAAACCGCACGTGTTTTAAGGCCAGAAACCAGCGACTGGTCATTATCGGTGACCTATTATTCTTCCTTGAAGAGGTTAGGACAGTTTTATGGTCTTACAACAGGTGTCAAACTCAAGGCCCGTGGGCCAAACCCGGTCCGCCAAAGCTCTATGTGGCCCACTAGATGCTAGACTAAACACTAATGCTTAAATATTTTTATTATCAATCAAACTGATGCTTCAATGTTGACACATGTGAAAATGGCTGCAGCAGACATGCAATTTTAGAACTTTGAAAAGCAGGAGTAGAGCCTCCTGCACAACCAACAAGAATGCGGCAAGTGGTTTCCGGATGGTAAGTCAACAACAAAACAATTGTCTTTTCCAGCAGCCATTGTGCAGCTGGTCAGGTTGCTAGGTGATGAAAAGAGTTCCAGTGGGGTTACTAGGCAACAGAGCAGTGCCCATCGAATGAGAGTCAACAACAGAGAGATATTTGAAAAAAACATTAACTCGTTGTCAAAAACTGTTTTTTTTATGCCTGGGTTGTTTTTGGAAGCAGTAGAAATAAAAATACGCAAAATGTGAATTTTGCGTAACCTTTGATTGCGGATGCTCGTAGGACGTCCGCCGGCCGACAGAAGGTCCAGGTAATTGGACTGAGAGCCGATGTCCAGAACAGAAATCTCCCTCCATCGTCCAGCAGCTCAACATCTGTTCATTCCAGCAGCAGCAGCAGCAGCAACACGCTGAGCTCAGTTTGGCTTCCTGAGAAACGCAGTTCGATTACCGTCCTGCTGTACAGCGCAGTTTTGTCTCTTTACTGAGCCTTTATATGTAGAGCTTGTTTATATGTAGAGCTTGTTTATACGTAAAGTGTAAACAAGCTCTCAAGCACTTTACAGAGGTGAAAGCAGAAGAACTGATGACATCAGAAACCCTTTTGCATTTTGAAAGCTGGTGGTTTACAGTGTTGAAAACATATTTATACCACTTAAACATTTTAATAACCTCAGGTTGGTAAAAAAACAGAAAAGTAGAGAAAAACCTGCAAAGACGTCCCTGAATATGAAGCATTTCTTGATGCGAATTGGAAAATTTACAAGGACAGTTTATTATTGTCAGATTTTAAACAATAAATAGAATATAAGATGGATGCAACGTGAAACAACAAATGAGATTTTGTAAAGTTGTAGGAAAAAATACCTGGGAATTACAAAGAGAGATTAAGAAAGGATTTTAAGGTTCAATCTCCACTAGCTTGGATATTGTTAAGAATTAAAAAGTGAAGAACTTGATCTTAGCTCGTTAATTAATTCTTAGTCCCGAATTCCTGTGTCTGTGTAAGTGTGCAGAGAGAAAAGAGCAATCGTACGACGTCAGACTTCAGATATTCAGAGTTTTATCCAGAGAAAATCAATCCAAGAAGAACTTTACAATAAGCCTCTCACCTAGAGCAAAAGTCCAAGATATTACAAAACAGAGACAAAGAACTGAGTAAAAAAGACAACAGAAGATGCATCCTCCGGGAAAACTCTCACCCAGCACAAAGAGATTCGAACTTCTGCTGTAAACCAAATCATTTTATAGAATGCGTAATCTCATCATTTAAATATATGCATTAGGAGGTGTGTTCTTTTCCTTTGTGTGGGCTGTCTTGATGTTAATTTTATTACCTCCTGCTAAAGAGCCCCAAAAGCAATATATGGCAAACCCTTCTCGTACCAGCCGCTGTCCAGTTTGATATATGATTGCAGCTGCAGCGCTATCTGTGCCTCAAAATGTTTCCACAAGAAAGTAGTTTGTATTTTTAACCAAGCTTGCACACAATGTAATGCTAAATAATGACTATAAGTTTGGATCTAATAAGTAACTAATTAAAAACATGCTTAAAGAAATATAGTTAATTCTAATATAGATAAAATTATTTATAAAAAGTTTTAAGATCCTAGTGAACTTTTGAACCATGCTCAGGAATTTGTTAATTGCCTGGCATACAGGCTCCTTTCTCAAGAGATCCAAGGAGTCTAGGCCTATGTTTTCTGTTTCTTCTGTCTGATCCTCCTTTTAAGAATTTATCTGCGTTTCAGAGATTGAGCCGTTGTTTTTAGTTTCATCTAAATTTATATGAACCTAGAGTGTACTTTAACTTTCTATGTTATATTTTATATGTGTCAAAGCTATCCTGTGCAGTATTGTGCTAACTTAAAATTCTATGTCAACAATATCCAGCTCAGCATTTTAAAACAGGTTGTTATAAAGTGATTTTGTGAAAATCTCAGATATTCGCTGGCAGTTGTAGCCCCTAAAAATCTCAAATCTGAGCTGAAAAGTTTAGTAAAAGCTTGTTGAACCGTCACGTCATTTTGCTCAGGATCTTCTTCGTTTGGCTTTTTATGTGGACGTTGCCCTTTATCGCGACCTGCTGGCGGAGCAAAGGCATTGCCAGTCTTTTTCTGTTGCTCATGTTTCAGATCCAGAAGGAAAAAAATCCCAGCCTTTTACAGCAACCTGTCACGTTATTTCTGAGCCTCAGACATCCAGGAGCGGCTCGTCTCTGGGTCAGACGTCTTCAGGAAGCATTTTGATGACTTCAGCAGCTCTTGGATGATGACATTATGTGAAAATAGCCTGAGTGAGAGCTGAGCGACCAACTCGCACGATGGCTGTCGCCCGGTGAAATCATTTCACTTCAGGCGTCTGAGAAGAAGAGCTGAACTACAAGCTGGAGGAGAAAAACGGAAAACATGGAGATTCAGAAAGACGTTAGTCTGGATTCAACCAATAGATGTTGAAGTATTGTTTACTCACTGTTTTATTATTGCTATAGAGCAATAATTTCTATTTTGAATGTATTAGTAGTAGTAGTTGTTTTACGCTTAGTATGAGATTAACTGATAATAAATAATAACAATGTATTTAAAATAATAGATTACAGTCTATTATTATGTTAGGAATACAATTATTTTATTGCTTGGATAATGTTGTGTTATCATAAAATGTTATTTTCTATTATAAATTGCAATAATTTCTATTTTAAATGTGTTATTAATATTTAATATGCTTTTTTAATGTGACGTTTTCAAAATGTATCAGTAGTTATATCAGTATCTGTAGTAATACTGAGTTTATTTAATAATAAACATTACCAATGGTATTATAAGCATTGATATTATTAGTATTTTGTATGTTTTTATTTCATTTCAATTTTAAATGTGTCGTTACAATTATTAATAGCAAGTCTGTCATTATTTCTATATTAAATAATAACACAAATATAGTAATAATTTATTTCTGCATTTTTATTGCTCTGCTGCAAACATTTCTATTTCATATAGTCATCATAATTTCTGATCGTGAACATCATAATATTTTAAAACTGGACATGAAAGAATTGGTTTCTGTCGCTTTAAGTTTCCCGGTTCCGGCCTCTTTGGGTTTTTGGGAACATTTGGACCTTTATGGGCGTATTTGGCCTCTGAGGAGAAGCCAGTCTGTTCCCAGGAACTGAGCCACTTACCGTACGGTCCGGTCCGTCTCTGCTGGTCACCGTCCAGCGTCCCGCCGTTCATTCAGATGAGACGTGAAATCTGCCCGGCAACAACAACGATGAGCTCACACTTTAGTTCTGTTGCTCCAAACTGCAGTGGAACCGACATGAGGTCCAAACCCAAAGGATTTTACTGTCAAAGTTTCTTTGCGTTGCCACAGACCAATAATCACTGGAACATCGATTGAATTTAGTCTTTTTTGCAGTGTGATAGAATAATGATGAAATCAGAGAAAATGCTGTTTTTTGCTGCTTTATTGTTTTATATTTGGAGGTTGCAAGGTTGTTCACATAAATGCACTGCAAAAACACAAAATCTTACCAAGTATTTGTGGTGTTGTTTCTAGAACAAATATCCTATTTACAAAGTAACTTTTCATTAAGATGTTAGAGCTTGTTTTATGTAAATAATCCTTAATATTGATGAGAAAATACTAGTTTCAGATTAGTGGGAAAAATGTCTTGTTAAAAGTGAAATAATCAAAACTTTTTCATCTAGAAACTAGACCATTTGTGTTGTTGAAGTGAGAGCTCCAGTACATTTGGTCAGCTGGTTGTGCCGCTATACAATGGCTGCTGGAAAAGACAAGTGTTTTGTCGTTGACTCACTATCCAGAAAGCGCTTAATTCATTCTTGTTGGTTGTGCAGGAGGCTCCACTTTTGCTTTTCCAAGATGTACAGTTGTAAAATTAAGCATGTGTTTTATACTTGAGTGTGAATGTCGGTTTGGGGGCGTGGCCAACTCCTTTAACTTGCTGGAAAGTTACTTTTAAGCTTTTAAGCAACTTGAGTTGCCGGTTGCCGTACGAACTTGATTGAATCCGTCTCTACGCAGACGATCTCGTGTTTTTGTGGACTCTTATTTTACCGTCTTTTCTCTGCGTCTTCTTCTCGTTCCAGTCCACCCGTCGAAGAAGAACCGTCAGACGTGCGTGAGGAAGAGTCTCATCTGCGCCTTCGCCATGGCCTTCATCATCAGCGTCATGCTCATTGCAGCCAATCAGATGCTGAGAAACGGCATGGAGTAGCCGGGCGCAGCCAGCCTGCATGTGCATGCCGGGTGGGCGAAGCCCAAGGCGCAGCGATCCAAACCGTCAACCAGGAAACGAACACGCTTTGTTTTTTATTTCAACGCCTCCAGTTGATCCGAACAAACCCGCCATGAAGCCAGCATGAGGAGGCGCCCGGGGCTCCTCCCCCTTTACTCCGACAGGGACTGTAAGGGCTGACATCACATCCACTGTCGTCGCTGTTTCCCTGATGCAATAATTCAGACCGAACATTTAGAAACGAGTGCAGGAGTCGAGATCCGCTCCAGACGGGAGCGGATCTCCCAGCAGGAGGCTGATGAACTGCCAAGGGACGCGCGCCGCCGAAGCACACCAACATGGCCGCCTGGTTCCTGCTGGGCCGCCGAACTTCAGCTCCCTGATTAACTGCTGACTCAGAAACGGGGAGAGATGTTTCTGAATGAGAGCGGATCATTTCCCCCTGCTGGACCAGAACCCGACCGCTAACGCTTCATGAAACCGTCGCTTCACCTGAACCAGATGCAAAATGTTTGTATCATCGATTCAATTGAATCCATTTTGCTTCGATTGTTTTCCTCAGAATAAGTAGAAAATAATCAGAATCAGAGATTTGAGTTGTTATAAAGCCGGATTTATTTACATCTTATCACAACTAATTAACCTGGAGGTCTTTGATTTTATCCATCATCTAATTTAAAATGTCACTCGAGATCAATTAGTTATTTATTTCACCTTTCATAGTTTGTTTTGGCTTTTCATCCTGTTTTCACTTCAAAAACACAAAATTCTACCAAATATTTCTGATTTAGTTTCCACTACAAACATTTTAATTCACTTTATAATAATTTCACCATGTATTTAGTTTCTAGTGCAAATGTCTCAATAAATCTTTCCCTCCAAAAAAAACTGAAACTTTTGAAAGAAAATTTTAATTTCTGAGTTTGAAAAAATTGAAAATCTTCTACAAAAAAACTTTAAAATTTTTATTTTAACCTTGAAAAATTTCTAGAGAAAACATGAAGTTTTTATGAGTTTCAAAAGTCAAACATTTTCTGGAAAAATTACAGAAATTTTGAGCAAAGTCTGAGAAATTCTCTCAACAGAACTTAGAAATTTTGAAGTGTGAAAAGTAAAAAATGTGCTAGAAAAAAATAATTGAGATTAGGCCCAGAAATCACCTAGAAAAATATAAAATGTCTGAGTTTCAGAAGTTAAACATTAGACTTTTCAAGTGTCCATTTTTTTAGTTTTTCAAATGTTTCTAGGAAACGTTTGACTTTTCAAATTCAGAGAATTTCTAGAATTTTTTAAAAATTTATCACAAGATTTCAGATTTTTTTTCAAGCAAATTTCCAACTTGTCAAAAAAAACAAAAAAACTTGTGATTTCTGGAAAATTTCAGATAAAAACTTCTAATTTTTTTGGGGGGGGGGAGGGGTTGCAAAGATTTAACATTTGAAACTCAGAAATTATGTTTTTCTAGACATTTTTTAGTTTTTTGGCAGAATGTTGCCTTTTCTTTCTTCTACCTCCCTGTCCACTGATTCACTCCTGCACTGCCTCTCATTTAAACTCTTAAAGGGCCAGCAGCCCCTCGCTAACTGCATGTGATCGAGTCTGTGTCTTGTGTAAATATTGCAACCTTTGTCAGAAGTGTGTGTCCCTTGTGTGTTTTGATGTTTCTGTGTGTGTGTGTGTGTGTGTGTGTGTGTGTGTGTGTGTGTGTGTGTGTGTGTGTGTGTGAGGGGTGTGTGTGTGTGTGTGTGTGTGTGTGTGTGTGTGTGTGTGGTGTGTGTGAGACTGTCGGTGCTCTCCGCTCTCCAGGGGCTTCAGGGTCCCGAAACATCCGGGTCGCTGACGTCCTTCCGGTTCCCTCTGAACCTCCATCCAAAGCCATAAACTCTGCGGAGACGAAGCGGACATCTAAATGTCGTCTGTTCCTATTTTCACACGGAAACACGAGATGCAACGGGCTTTTTAGACAGAAATTTGATTTAATTTGTTTATTTTTCACTCCGATGGAAGGAGAAGTTGGTTTGTTAGTTTGTGTTCTAGTGCCATCTAGTGGCGACGTCTCTCCACAGGAACTTCTGTATTTTTCTCGTTTTAAGCAGAACTGTCTGGAAAACTGATGCTAAATGTTGAAATGTCATGTAAAATCTACAAATTCTCTACCAGCAGCGCAGGGAGAGAAGCTCTTATTTAAACTTGATATTTACTGGGATAAATCTCTTGCCTGTGGCAGAAAAATAGGTTTTGAACCTGTAAAAGGTTTAATTTATCTACCTTTGGGACTCATTGAGCTCCGATGTAGTCTCAAAAACCTGTTTTATACATATTTTATTTGGTTTTATTGCATTTCGTTTGAAGAATTAAATCTGCAGAATGGTTGCACGTCTCCATCACCGAGTTACTCTGCAGCAGCATGACGGATAATTCCCACTTCTTGACTCACATGTAATTTTGTAAATATTTACCTGGACAGAATATCTAGACAAGCACATACTGTACTTAATGCATGTGCAATATTTACTTAGACTAGACTTTCAGTCATACTATTTATTAGAGGCATAATAATTATAATCTTGTAAATATGGAAATCTGTATAAACGCAAAACAAATAATTGTTGCAATAAAAACTTTTTTTTAAGTGTTTTTTTTTTCGTCTTATTTTTATTGCAGATTTTCTATTAAAAAACACTAAAACCTGATTATAATTTAGTTATAAAACTATAAAAGTTTTTAAGAATGACTTCTTGGAAAAGGTATTTAATATTTTTATAAAATCCCAGTAATTGCTGAATGTTTTCCTGTAGTATTTTAACTCCACAAAATTAAATTAAATTAATAAAAAAACATTTTCCTTCAGTATTTCATTCAGATTTGCAGTTTTCACTCTGTCCTCATGGGGGCGACATTCCACATGTTTTGGCACCATAGAGGAAGATTTTCCTAACATTTCAGAGCTGTAGAAATTTATGGCCAATTTCTTTTCACCCAGATCTCCAAAATTCTAAACATTTTTTTTTTTTGCAAAACCCAAAAATGTTCAACTGAAACTTAAAGTTTCCTAGACCTTCCTGGAGTTCAATCAGCTTAACAATGAATCTAAATAGAAAAACAAATGTTTTTTGTTGTTTTTTTTTGTTGTTGTTGTTGTTTTTTGCAGGAACCTGAAGGGCGCTAACATTTTAATGATTGTTAAAAAAAAAAAAACATTATTTAAAAATGTGAGTTTTTCTCTTTTTCAGCTGAATAAATGTTAAAATTTAGAGAAAAAAAATATGAAAACTTAAAAGATGATTTTATTTTTTAGATTTTAACTGAGATGCCAAATTTTCTATTTAGCTGAAACAGATAAATTAATAAAATATGATAATGTTTATGTTACATTTATGCAGATGATCCATAAACTTCTGAGTTGATTTTCAGCATACGATGATTTTTCGTTCCGGTGGTCGTTTAAAGTCTGGTCAGCGTTCAGGGACGTGTTAGCATGCACGCGCCGTCCTTGAACGCCACACCGGCCTCTGCAGCTTCAAACAGGGCCTTGTGCTCCTGCAGACGCTCCCCGTTTCATTTCCAGCTCCAAAATCAGCTGATGCTTCATCCACAGCGGGACGCTGACACCCAGCAGCAGGAGTCTGGTTTCTCATTCAGGAACATATGGAGACATCAGAGATTAATCTGGAGCTTTTACATCTCTGGCTGCTGCTGCTGATTTCACATGTGATGGTTTATTAAAATAACAAAAAACATGCAAATTATTAAAGCAACAAAAGGAAACAGAGAAGCTGTAGGAATGTCCTAATGGAGATTTACGCTGAAAGTTAATTAAAATGAGACATTTTCTGATGCCACATTAGAAAATGCAGTTTTTACCCAACTGGACATTGATAAGGTTTCTCCAAGGTTACAAACGTTACCTGATATTTGGGTTTGGTTACATGATGTGTGGTGTCATCTGCATAGCAGTGCATTTCTGCTGTTATCAGATTCTCTGCAACGAAAAATGAACTGAGGCTGAAAATTAGATTTTAAAAAAGTCGTATAACTTAAAAAAAGACTAAAAGAATAAACTTCTTGTAAAAATAATACTAATATCAGGCAAAAATGACACAAAATGCTTCAGAAACATGCCTTACTTGAAGGGTGTCCAAAGGGTGGCCCGGGGGCCATTCGTGGCCCTTGGGCTGCGTTGGTTCGGCCCTTCAACTGCAATTCAAAACTGGCACTTTAAATGGAGACTTTTAATTTGCACTCGGGATAAAAATAGTCACCAACAAAAATTCTTTACACAGGAAAATATAAAAAGCAACAGAAATTTTTTTTTTTGTAACCAAGTTTTAAGAAAAGCTAAAACCAAGTTTATCCAGAGATTTTCACTGAAAAGCTGCACAAAAGTCAGTTTTTAATTCTTTCTTAAACTCGATTAAATACGGGAACCGTTTTGAGAGAAAGTGACCAAAGTCCTGCTTTTATTACTGAAAATAAATGTGTCCAATCGAGCCTAAAAGAAACTGAGAACTAAAAAATTCAAATTTTTAGATTAATAACAGAAATTTTCTGCAAAAAACTGTAATTTTCAAATGTTAAAAATTTCTGGGATTAATGACAATCCCAGAAATTGGGATTGTCATTTTTAGCGCAGTTATGCTAAAAACAGGAAGACTGTTTTTAGCATAACTGTGCTCCTTTCTTCTGACACACAAACAGAGTTTATGCAACGCTTCCTAAAAAAACAGCCAAGCAAAACCCAGGAAGCCATTTTGTTTATTGGAAGACAAGCTGAGAAACCAAACCAATAACACTGAATTATTTGAATTATTTGACATCAAGCGTCTCAGAGCCGGAACAATTTCAGCCTGGAAAGTCGTCAATACGTTTGATCGCAAATCAAACTCCCTGCTGCAGTCGGCAGAAGATGCTTCGTTAGTTTTGGCACTCAGACAAACAAACAAACTCAACTTTCCTCCCATGAAGTTTTCACGCTAACCTGTGTGAAAACTTTAGCCCTCTTGGCTTTTTTTAAAGTTATTTTATTTATTTCTTGATAACTTTTCAAACACTAACTGTGCCTTACTCTTCAAATTATAAATATTTACAGAGTTTAGACTTTTTAAAGGCAAAAAGTAAAAAATATCTTTATGCTTATTTACGAGCGTAATTTGATTTATTTCATCACAGATGGGATCTCATCTTTTTTACACTAAAATCTGGAACAACGACTAACAGATTTCTGTCTCTACATTCTGAACAGAGCGTCACTTTTTTTTAAAACACCTTACAGGACATGACAAGGAATGGAGTATTGCAGAGATTTAGACAATAAAACTATTTAAATGAGCCTTAAGGAGCTGAGCAAAAGCTTTAAACCATTAATTCTCCAGTTTTATTTGAGTTTTTGTTTTATGTGATATTTCAGGTAATGACTGCAGCACATATCAGAGTGCAGCCTTCGTTTTTATTGCTTTGCTGTTAAAATGTAACTTTTATCCAATAAATTGAGCAATTTTGTGGGTTTTTTTCTGTCATCTAAAAATTTTTGTTCACTTCAGTGAAATGAGGGAAAATGTGACCAGAAAAGTGAGGAAAACCTCAGAAAATTTGCAGAGCCGCCCTCCAGAGAGCCGCCCCTCCAGAGAGCCGCCCCTCCAGAGAGCCGCCCCTCCAGAGAGCCGCCCCTCCAGAGAGCCGCCCCTCCAGAGAGCCGCCCTCCAGAGAGCCGCCCCTCCAGAGAACCGCCCCTCCAGAGAGCCGCCCCTCCAGAGAGCCGCTCGTCCAGAGAGCCGCCCTCCAGAGAGCCGCCCCTCCAGAGAGCCGCCCTCCAGAGAGCCGCCCCTCCAGAGAGCCGCCCCTCCAGAGAACCGCCCCTCCAGAGAGCCGCCCTCCAGAGAGCCGCCCTCCAGAGAGCCGCCCTCCAGAGAGCCGCCCCTCCAGAGAGCCGCCTGTCCAGAGAGCCGCCCCTCCAGAGAGCCGCCCGTCCAGAGAGCCCCTCCAGAGAGCCGCCCCTCCAGAGAGCCGCCCCTCCAGAGAGCCGCTCGTCCAAACCGGTTTGAAACAGAAACACATGAAGTTTGCAGAAACGCACCGACATGAAGGTCGGCTCCAGAGCTTCTGCTCTTCCTGTCCAACATTTTTGGTTGATTGAGTCTCATGTCATGAACATCAAATCATGGTTCAGCAGTAACACACACACACACACACCCACACACACACACACACACACACACACACACACACACACACACACACACACACACACACACACCCACACACACAGAGGATTTATAACAACACATCAAGTCAAAATAAATCAGAGAATCAGTCCTCATGCTTAGTTTGTCATTCTGAATGTTCATTTTATAAAAAATAATTCACGATAATCTTCATGGCACCCAAAGTTTTGATAAAACGTTTCTGTTGAAGGTTTGCATCAGCGTCTCATTGGCTCGTTGTGACCAGCCTCAGCCAATCGCAGCCCAGGAAGCGGCGGCGCCGGCGGCTACGGCTTCATGGCGTTCTTGATGGTCCACCTCTGACCCGAGCAGGGCTGCAGGACCAGCAGGTGGCCAAAGTAAACGTTGGCCGGCACCACCTCCAGACAGCGACCCGTGGCCCGGTTTACGATGGAGTCGTTCTGCAGGACCAGAACCGGGGAGTCAGGATGATATCAAAGGGAACCGATCAAGTAAAATTCACTTTTTGCTTGTTTTCTTTTACTTCCGTTGTGATCTCTACTGCTTTCTAAAAATGTCCAAGTGGTCAGGCAGTTATTAGCTTAATTAATAAATAAGTAGTTCAGTCAGTTTCACCTGTAGTTTCAAGCATGAAGCATCCCGAGGGAAGAAACGCCTCTCCATGACATAATGAAAGATTATTTAACATTATCGTTGCCACTGAAACAAACTGTAGATATGCAGGTTACAATCAGAGGCCATTTTGAATAAAAAAGTCAATTCTTTGTCATTGATTTTTAAAAAACATTCTAATAATTACATATTGAGTTGCAATTAATTTTCATTCAAAAAGCTATTTATTAAAAAGGAATCCAAAATTCAGTTACTGGGGATATTATTATTATTATTACTTCAAAGAGGTGTGTCCCATGTTAAAAAGTCTATGATGCATAATTAGGATTTTGAATTAATATAATCACAGAGGGAACAACAGCAGGGAGTCTAAGGATTCTTCCTGAGCTCCAGCTGGAATCCGAGTCGGAAAAAAGCAAGAAAAATTCTGCTGAATTTAGATTTTCTGCAGGAGAAAATCCCATCATCACAATGGGTGGAAGATTTACATAGTTTTCTAAAACTTTGTTATTTTGATGGCCACAAGGCACAGAGGATTTAATGTGAAAACAGAATGACCTCTGACCTTTTAGAAAGGTAGTAAAGTAAATAATAAGAGAACAGGGATGCACTGCAGAAACACAAAATCCCAAAACAAGACGAAACTGAACCAAGAAATATGAGTTTGTTATAATAATTTGTTAATATTGATGAAAAAATACTATCAGATTATTTACGTATAGCAAGATAATTGCTATACATTTATATGACTGGTTTGCATAAGACAGATATTAACGTCTGGAGTGAAGATGGGGGAGTTTTTATGGATGTTTACGACTATTGAGATGTCATTCGGTAAATAAAGTTGATTAAAAGTGTAAACTTTGCATTATTTAGTCATAAAGACCTTTTAATGAACCACCTGAAACAACAACTATTAGGGAAGCTGTACGCAGCTTCAGGTTTTGGTTTCCGGTTCAGACTCTTGCTTCCTGCTCACCTGGGAGAAGCTCCAGGTCTTCTGCTTGGCGTTGGTCACCTTGTCACAGTTCAGGAGTTGTGGGAAGCTGCTGATCGGGTCGTCCACCACGCAGCGGGTGTCGTCTCCGGTGCTGCCCAGCGGACCCAGGAACAGCTGACCCTCTTTGGTGTAGCGTCCCAACTGAGTGAAGACGAGAACAAACTGTCACAAAGAGGTGAAAATCAAGTCCCAATGACGAAACTTTTTCAAAATGTGAGACGTTCTGGATCGTGACTTTTTCTGACAGGAACTTCCTGTCATCATTCAGGCTGATTTTAGTTGCTTTCAGCAAAATGGGGTGTTGTTGTTCCAGGATGATGAGAAACTAAACAAATCTTTGTTTTTCACTGGCTTGAACTGAGTTTCCTGTTAATTAGTTTTATCAGCTCAATCTGTTCCAGAGAAACGGTTAAAATTCGAAACCTGACGGTGCAAACAGCGAAACATCAAAGGAGAGAAAGTCAAGCTGCTGTTTACGCCTGAATAACTTTGAATTTCTCCATCTGAAACAAAGAAACTGAAGTTTTCACTTAAACTTACTGCAAAACGTTTTGAAATACAGTTTTCTTAAAATGATTTTGGTGACATTTTGGCCTTTTTTTACTTTATAATCCAACCGGATTACATGTGTAATTCACGTTTCCAGGATCTATTTTTATGCCACTACAACAAAAAAAATCATATATTTATTTCTGTTTATGTCTTGTTCTCTGTCTGCTGTCTGTTTTGTTCCTGCTTTTTTTTTTATTTGAAAGAAAAACAGGAATTGAAAACAATCTTCGACCACAATAACTGCGTTTTCTGTTTTAGATTTCATCTTCATCTGAGAAGTTTCCCAACTCCTCCATTAAACAGATCCCTTCATGCATTCAGGACCAAATCTTCTGGGAAAAAATAAACCTTTTTTACTGCATTAGTCCTAAAAAAAACCCTGCATGAATAAATAAATTGCAAAACGAAATGAGGCTTAGCCAAACTCAAATGATCCTTTGAATCTGTTGATCTTTGCACATTTCGGAGCCGCCCTGAGCACCTGCTTGTGGCGACAGCTGGATGCCTGCAGACTGAAGCAGCTCATGAGCTGACAGCTGCTGACTCAGCACAAAAAAAAACAAAAAGTGACAGACAAACATTTTCCCTCTGACAGCAAAACTCAACCCAACTCAGCTTGTTAGACAAACACAGGGGAACATTGGTGAACTGTAAAACCAGCTGACCAAATGGGCTGGAATTCAGCTTAGGTTGCTAGGTGACGAGCAGAGTTCCGCAGGGGTTGCTAGGTAACGAGCAGAGTTCCGCAGGGGTTGCTAGGTAACGAGCAGAGTTCCGCAGGGGTTGCTAGGTGACGATACATTCTGAAGGTTTTTGAAATGGCTCATTTTCTGATATCAAAAAAACAAAAAAACTTATTGTTAAATAAACACCAAGGTGGTTTTTTTAAGCGCTTACGTTGTTTTTAGAAACAGTAGAAACTCAAAATAGAAATACAAAAATGTGAATTTTGAATAGTACTTAAAGAGACACAAACCATGTATTTATTTGTTTGGTTTTTTTAAAGCACACAGTGTTTTACCTGAGGACCCCAGCCATGGCAGGGGTGAAGGGTGGCTGTGTGGTTTTCCTTCATACCCTGATCCATACACAGGTGGCTCACTTTGGAGTTACGGATCTGAGGGAAGATAAAAATAAAAATAACATGTAAACTATCAGCCAATCACTACAGCTTTCTGAGAAAAAGAAATCTGATTTTTCAGTTTCATCATTAAGCTTTAAATGCACATTTCTACTTTTCCAATCAGGGGTTTTGTTTTTCTTCGGTGGCTTCAGATGTACAACCTTTGACCCCCATGCCAGTTCAATTGATGACCCAAAAACTGTCTTCAGGTAAGATTAGCAATACTTCAACACAATTATACTGAAGTAAAAAGTATCTGTCCAAGAAATTACTCAAGCAAGAGTAAAAAAAGTATTTGGTAAAAAGTCGACCCAAGAACTGAGCAGCTTGTCAAACTAGCAATCATTTAATACTTAAGAAGTGCTTCATCAGATGGGACAAAATATAAAGTTAAGTGGAAATTTTGGTATTTCAAGGACCAAAAAGACAATAATTCATGACAAACAATAACAGTCTGGAAAAATTTTTCAAATCTGTTTCTTTCAGTGAAAAACTTTAACAAAAATTGCAGGTCTTTGTTAAAACATGTTTGATTTTCATTCAGTGGGTCAAAAATCCAGAAATTTTACTCAAGTGAGAGTAGAAATTCTTCATAATAAAATTATTCAAAGTGCAGTATAGTAAAAAAATACTCCTAGAAAAACAATTTTCTAAATGTAACTATTTACCAGCCAACTCACCTCACCGTAGAACACCGTGTTGTTGTACCTCCTCATTTCCGGGTAAACGTTGTCCAGGTACCACTGGAAGCTCTTGCACTGCAGATTCTTCCTCAGGGCCGCCCTCTGAGAAACGTCACCGTAGTCGATGCCGTGGTTCTGCAAAACACAAAACGCTGGTACAATCCTGCCGGCATAAGGTGAAATACTGACACGACTCCCCCGTCCTCGCGATTTGAACCGTGCGGCTTTTCAATGGATTTTTCTTCAACCACCAGGGGGCGCTCTTTAGCAGGAAGTGAATCATTGGAGGTCAAAATTGGAAATCAAAGAAGAAAGTGCTAATTTTCATGTAGAACAAGCACATGCGAGCATCATGGAAACAACACGAAGGAAAAACTGGCACTTTTAAGTTTAAGGTAATCGATCTGCTGCACATAAACTCATCGTGAACAGATCCACGGTGACGCAGGCATGCTTTAGAAATCAGTGCATGAAAGCTAATTAGCTACGTGCTAACTAGTGATGCTGCTGTGATCGCTGCACTTAATTAGCACAAACAGGGCGGTAAGATGTCTGCAGTGTCTTACACCTAATTAATTTTCAAAAACACATTTTTTGTACATCCCTGGTTGTAAATATATAAATTTCTGCTGAGGATTTGAGAAATAATGAAGCACATAAGCAGCTTCATTATGTTGTGTTATTAACACTAATTATTCAGAGGATTTGGTACGAGTAAATAAAATAATAGCACTTTGCGTTAAATAAACAAACTTTTGTTTATTTTAATGTCTTAATTGATGCAAATGATTGGAATAAAACAAGTAAGGGGGAAAAAAGTTTAAGCTAAACTTAAATGGAAAATAGACAAAATATTTTATAAATATCATCGGTTTTAACTTTCAGTCCATTGGGAGTCTGTCAGATTGATGCAGTTCAGATAGAGCTCTTCCCAAACATTTTATCCTGATAGTCAAACAATGCAGTGTTCATTACCCTGAAGGCAAACTCTGACACTAAACTCGTTATTTAGGAATATTTAAACACATTTCAAACACTTTTCTTTAAAGTAAAGATCTTATTATTCTAAAATTTCATGCCACTCCATTTTTTATTGACACCATCCTCCTATCACTTCCTGTCACACTTCCTGTTGTCTTCTTCTTTTCCTACAGTAGCAACATCCGGTTGAAGCGTATAAACAGCTGCATCAGCGATAAATGAAGCTATGATGCCATAAAAACTGTTTTCCAGAATGCAGTCATTTCCATACAAAACAAACAATTTCTTCCTATCACCAAAACTTTATATAAAAAACAAGAATTATTTTCAAAATTGCCGTTTCCATTACACACATTTATTTTCAAAATGTAAAATTTTAAGCTAAATGGAAAATTCTTTAGAGATTTTTATATTGTTTCTGTCATGCGGGGCTTGTTACAGCGCCCCCACAGGTGAGGAGGGGAACGGTTTCTCAAAGGGTTTGATTCAGTTTTGATCCCCAGTCAAACCGAGTCTACTGGACTGTCAGGTGTGAAAGCACCGTGAGATAGTTGGTGTCTGATATTTAAGGTCCAACTGGCAGCGATAACAAGCTGAGCATCACGGTTCCTCACCTCCATGGGGATGTTCCAGGCCAGGTACACATTGGATTTGTATTCGTCCATCCAGACCTCTGCCACACGCAGAGCGTTGCGCCGGGTGTGGAACGCGATGTTGCTGTGGTAAGGTTTCTTCATTCGAGCAATGTGAGCCACTCTGGAGCAAGGCAGCACCTCCATGCTTCCGCCGCAGAGCCAAACCTGCAGGCAAAACGTTCCACAACATGGGCTGGTAAAAATAATTAGACAAAATGTATCAATGAAGGTGGTTTGGATTTATATTTTACCTCTGATGCTAAGAATTCGCTAAATTTGCTTTTCCGCTGCAGAATTGTATAAAATTCAGTTTAAAATAATCCAACATGACAGATTTTTAAATCAGTGTGCAGAAGCAAACTCCCAAAGCTTCCTGCTTCCTGTGACCTATTTATCTTTCTGGGCCTGCTGTCGGCGGCACACAGAGGACCGCTCCTCCCGGAGACTTAATGGGGCCTCATTTATCAGCGACGCCACGCTACGGCGGCCACTGCTCCATTTCAACCTGCGGGCGCAAAGAGTGCTCAAGAACAAAAGGAAAGTGGGTGACACACAAACCCTGATGCCCAGCTCGATGTTCTCCCCTCCGTAGACGTCCATGCCCGAGTCCAGCAGGCCGAGTTCCCCAAAGTAGTCCCGGTTGGCCACGAAGGAGCAGCCAATCATGGCAGGAGTCCTGCAGCAGAAGAATGTCAGCGATAAAGACGCTTTGGACAACCTGTTGAGTTAACAAGCTTTTGCAATCATCACTGCAAAAACACAAAACCTCACCAAGTATTTTTGGTCTCGTTTTCGAGCAAACATTTCAGATTATCTCACTTGTAACCAGGGGAAAATGTCTTGTTACAAGTTAAATGATATTCCAGAGGAACTAAAACGTTTCCATCAGTATTTAAGCTGCAGATTGTTGCAGAAAGTGAAGAAGACACATCTCTGCATCAACACAAAACCTTTTAGCTTTAGTTTCTAGAGAAAATGTATCAGTTCACTTGAAATAAGACAAAACTATCATACAAGCAAGAAATATCTTCTTGTTTTGAGCCAGTAACTCCTTAATTTTGATGCAAACGTTCTGGATCCACCAGAAGATTATTTCACTTATGGGAAAATGTTCTAAGTGAATCAGCCAGTGGAACAAAGACGTTTTCATCAACATTAAGGATTTATTGACTCAGTACAAGCTCCCACATCATTTCATATTATATTTCTAGTTTTCGGGTGCCCGCCCCTTTCTGATGCCGCCCTGGACGACCGCCCACATGAAGAGCTGCCACAGTGTGGACGTGTATTAAAAGCTTTTCTTTCCCCAGTATTTAGGGTGAGTGTTTCTTGCCTGATGGGTGCCGACATGTCCCCCTCGTCCCACCACTGCTTGGGCGGGTTGATGTACATGCACCACAGTTCCCAGTTGTAGCCGTGGCCCGAGTTCTCGTAGCGCTCCACCTCGAAGGTGTCGTGCTTGATGTTGTCGATGGACGGCAGGATGATCCTCTTGTGGTCCTCTTTGATTCTGGCCAGCACCGGCTCGGCCCTGACCGCAACGCAAACAATGAAAAAACCCTCAAAGTTTCTCAACTTCTCACAAATTTTAATCAGGGAGTATTATGCTTTGTCTTAATGAATCCGTCTAATTATCTTGGCTTCTGCTCTGGAACACTAATCCTCTGAGTGCTAATTAAATTTATCCCATCTCAGAATCTGATAAGAACGGCTGGATTAAATCCTCTCATGCAGCTGGAGGCTCCATTCGTTCCTGACCATATAGCTGCAAATTTATTGATACTGGACGCTTTAATCAGTGACCAACAATAGCAATGACACAAACGCGACAAACGGTGGAAATTTACACCTGAAGGTCGGAAAGCGTTAGTTCATATCATCGTTTCATTTCCTCCTAAATGTTTATGTAAAAAATATCAAAACAGGAAATAGAAAAAAGATGATTTTCTGCACCAGACATGGAAAGTACGGTTACTTTAAATACAAGTTAGCATGTTTATTTAAACAAACTTTATAGTTTCTATTTGCACTATTTTTAGTTTTTCTACCAAAAACTGGATGATACAAAAAAAAACTTCAGTCTGATGTTTTGGTTTCAACTAAATTATTTTTTGATTTAGTTGATTTAGTTAACAACTTAATACTTCCTAAAAAATCATTTGAATTGTTTCTGTTGTTTTGTTTATTTATTTAAAATGTCTTTCAGTCACAGTGTTAAATGTTCCATTATTTATATTACTTGAAAATGGCCTCAAAACAACAATATTATTAACTTTAACTGTTTTTTTATTTTTTATTTTGTCATTTCTATTGTAGCCAATCCTACGATGTTTTAACAGGCGCTCACATTGTTGTTTTGCTCCCTGAATCTCTGCGCAGGTTAACATTTGTTTGTCTGTTGAAGAAATGTAAAATATCATGAGAGAAAAGATGATGCGCACCACGATGGCGTAAACTCCACATGGGCATCAAAGAACCCGGTCACTTCGGCCGTCGCCACCTTCCAGCCCTCGATTCTGGCCCGGATCAGTCCTTCTCTCTTCTGGTTTCTGACGATCTTGACCAGCCCAGGGTAGCGCTTGTTCACGTAATCCTCCAGCGGCGCCTTCAGCTGCTCTGCAGACCAAACATGAACAGAAAACATGAACAATAAATCCACTCTGCAATAGATCAAATAAATAATCAAACTGCATTCAAACAGTTTTTATAGCTTTCCTTCCAGGGGCTGATAATAAGCACCTTCAAGTCACTCTTCAAAACGGGAATAACAAGAGAACCTTCAGGAAATACAGATGTTTGCTGATCATACGACAGACAAAGACTATGAGAAATTAGATCCTTACACAAAACCTCACCAAGTATTTCTGTGCAATATCTTAAAATAAGACAAACTAAATTAAAAGGAACTTTTTAGTAATATATTGTATAAACAGCTTGTTTAAACTCAGTAGTTCCTTAATATTAATGAAAAAATGCTAATTGCAATGGCAAAATGTTTAACTTATAAAACTCACTGACTGTTTGAAAATATTTAGTCCTCAAACTGAAGCTTTCTGCACATTTTAGTGTCGCTGCCTTCAACATTTATTTCTTTTAAACCTTTTGGACGTCTTTACGAATGATTGCAGGCGCTGCTAAACGTTCCCATGTCTGACCTCGTCACGTTTCAGAGAAAATGCAGAATAATTTACTCTGGACATTGAGACTTTCAGTTCCAGACAGATTAATGGAAAGCAGAGCATGAAGGACACAGACTTAGGAAATTAAGCCGATCCCAGCAGAGGAATCCGACATGCACACTGTAACCTGATTACAGTTAAACAGCAAAGCTCTGGGTTGCACTTCGCCCTGAAGAAACACTGAATCAGTTTACATCCTCGCTGCAGCCTGAAGTTAACCAGAAGTTGTTTTTCTTCTTAATGCGACCCGGATTCAGGACAGTCTGAAGAACCAAATCCGATACGTATCTGATCCTTTTCAACGTTTTCATTCTCCTGACCTGAACGTCACTATTCTGCGTCCTGCGAAATAAAAAAGAGGAAACCGTCAAATCCAGATGACAGGGGAAAACATCCAACAGGAAACAGTGGGTTTTGTTTTCAAGAGGAGACTGTAAAACATCGTTTGTTATAAATATTCTGTTGAGAGAAGCAAATTATGTGTAAAATAAATTACAGTTAAATAAACAAGATATTTTGGACAAAAATTCTACTTCTGAATATTTTTAAGAAAACAAAATCGATAGAAAGGATATAAGTTTTATTTATTTTATTTGATGGGAGAAAATACATACAGTATTTGTAGCGTCCCGATCTACACTCCATTCCAGTAGATGGCGGTAATGCGCATCAGTGCGTTGCTTGTCAAACGCCATAAAAACACGAAGAATAAAAACCAACAGGCTGTAATGAGGATTAAGTTGTTTTCGTGTTGCTCTGGTTCGATTACAGCGTTAGACTCATAAGCTAAGCTACATGTTAGCATCCACCGAATTCTTCTTCTTCTACGTTTTTGCGGCGGTTAGCAAAACACTGAGTGCTGTCTCCACTGCGCATGCGCGGCAATTTCAGCTCGTTTGCAGTTCACACTGGAGAACACATCCAAGTTGCACATATTTGGAAATATTGAAGATCGAAATGCTTTAGATTTGTTTGGAAATCAGCAAAATTCGCCAGGAGATCATTTATTTTCCCCTGATCAGGTCCTGATTTAGTAAGAAACAAACACACAAAAAGAGAAGGCTTCAAATTTGGAAAAATGAATTTCACAACACGACCCTGGCGCGCAGCGGAGCAGAAAGATGACTCAAATCTGCTCCATGGTTCCCGCGGTGCTTTTCTTAAGCTCCAGCAGAAACCAAACAACACCGAAGGGAGTCTGCAGCTCCACCTTTGATCCATGAATTAACTCATCAGCCGTTTCCCTCCGGAGCAAAACCTCCGCTTTCTTCATGACACACACCAACACACACCAACACACACACCCACACACACACCAACACACACACCAACACACACACAGCAACACACACCCACACACACACCAACACACACACCAACACACACACCACAACACACACACAGCAACACACACCAACACACACACCAACACACACACCAACACACACACCCACACACACACCAACACACACACAGCAACACACACCAACACACACCACAACACACACACAGCAACACACACCAACACACACCAACACACACACCACAACACACACACAGCAACACACACACCACAACACACACACACCAACACACACACCCCACCCCCCACACACACACCAACACACACACACCACCAACACACACCCCCACACACACACACAAACCACACACACCAACACACACACCAACACACACACCACAACACACACCAACACACACACACACCAACACACACACCAACACACACACACACACACACCAACACACACACTTCCATATTCCCCCCAAAACAAAAACACATTTCTCATTCCCTCTGTGTTTCTCTTTGCTCTTGATCACAAGGTAATTTCCCATCCTGTGTTGTTGTTGTTCTCTCTATTTCTCACACACACACACACACACGCATACACACGCGCACACACACACACACACACACACACACACACACACAAGCATACACACGCGCACACACACACACACACACACACACACACACACACAAGCATACACACGCGCACACACACACACACACACACACACACACACACACACACCATGCAAATGAGGCTAAAGTGGAAGTTGCAAATTATTCTTCACTGCAGAAACACAGAATCTCACCAAGTGTTTCTGGTCTAAATATGTTTGTCCTCTTGAAATAAGATAAACTCATTTACAAGTAACTTTTTAGCAAGAAATAATTATTTTAAGCAAATAATTCCTTAATAATGATTTTAAAAAAAGTCTTGCTATAAGTAAAATAATCTGCCAAAAGAACTAGAACGTTTTTATGAATATTAAGCAATTACTTAAAACAAGCTTTTATATATTGTTAAAAAGTTACTTTTAAGTTAGTTTATCTTATTTCAAGTGTACTAAGATATTTGCTAGAAACTAGACCAGAAATACTTTGCAGTGTGAGTTCAGTTAGAGACAGTTAATCCTCTCTTATGCAGGATTATATTTATTTTAATCACTCGACTGTGTGCTAATATTCACCAAACATGTATTTTTTTCTACTGTTTTGTTGCCAGCGCCACAGATATCATATCTGTATTTGGTGGTTTCTTCACCTCAACCATGCAAATGTGCACCAGACTCTGTCGATATGAAAAAATCTGACATCGCTTCAGTTTAGTTGATTTCACTTTAAAAATAGTCACAGGTTGCTGAGCAGACAAGGGTAGAAACCGTTTGTCCTTACAATGTTTACATATAAAATTATGTTGTATTAATGCTGCTTTCTGTTTTGGGTTAGTTGTCAGCTGGCAGCCATTTTGTTTTGCCCATACAGTTTAGCTAAACCAGTATTTAAATCCCCTAATGAGTCATTTCAGGGGAGGTCAGTCTGTCGTATGTCAGCAGTTTGCTTTGACTCTTTTAATGCCGATCTAATTATTACATTAATCGTTGTTGTTACTTTGGGGTAAATGAAAAAAAACACTTTTTTAAATGTTGTGTCTTTTGTCCTGTTTTTGTCCTGACAGGAAAACAGTTTCAGCGGCTCTGCTCAGCGCTCCCGACTCCCATCACGGCGCCCGGGTCGGGTCAGTGACGTCGCTGCAGAGGGACAACAGGAACCATTTGGGACGTGGCCAAGCCCCAGGTTAAACTCGGGACGGATCCCGACTGGCTTCATGGTTGAACCTCCTTGTTGGATTAGCTGAAAACATTGAAATGCCTGATTCTGTGACGGCCTCATGTTTGCTGGATTGCTCCCTCCATTTCTTCCGGATCCTGCAGTCGCTCTCCGACCTCATTTATCTCTCGGCCCCCCACCTCCTCCTCCTCTAATAGCCTGGCTTGTTCTCGCAGCTCTTCCATTATTTCCTCCTCTCCTCTTCTCTGACCTTCCCTCTTAATTTGCCTTTTGTCGTTTCCTTCAGCTCTCTTCACTCTGTGACCTTTCCTTTCTTGCACTTCCATCCCATTTCTCAGACGCCTCTCCGTCTTTCTGGTCTCTTTGTCCTGCCGTTTGCTCTGAACCGTTCTCATCTCAGAAAGCCCAGATGAACAAGACGGGGACGTTTCCCCTGTGACCTGCCACTGGTCGCTCTGTCTATCTGCCTGCCTGTCTGTCTGCCGGAGAAAGACATGGACGCCATCAGTCACCGCGCCCAACGCTCCTCTTCACACAAACCTACAGCTCATTTTTCCAGACACCAAAAATAATAACTTATTGCCAAAAAACGAGTTTGATGGGGTTTTTCTTAGACACCTGGATTGTTTTTAGAAACAGTAGGAACCCAAACAGAAGTACAAAAATGTGAATTTCTCACAATCCCTCCCCATTTGAACTCAGCCTTGATGCGAGGCTCTTACTGACCGTCGTCGCTGTTGTCGTCCACCAGGATGATCTCTTTGAGCAGGTGAGCCGGCGTGTGGTTGACGGCCGAGTGGACGGAGCGCAGGATGACCGACAGCGCCTCGTTGACGAAGATGAAGATGAGGGAGATCTGAGGCAGGTCTCGGGGGTAGCTGACTTTCCTACATCTGCAGGAAGAAAAGCAAATATTAGCTAAATTTAATGCAAACCAAATATTCTGCACATAACCATCCTTCACCGCTGCTTTAGAGCACCAAGGAAGGAAAAACATGCAGCTTTCTGCAGGCCTGATCACATGTTCTCTGTGTGTGTGCGTGTGTGTGTGTGTGTGGGTGTGTGTGTGTGTGTGTGCGTGTGTGTGTGTGTGTGTGTGTGTGTGTGTGTGCTGCTGACAGGAGGCTTATTTTCACCTCTGCTCGAACAGCTCTAATGAAGCGCAAAGAGGAAGAGCTCTAAGTTTAGCTCTCATGTAGGCGGCGGCTACGACTTCCTTCACGTTCCTCTTTAATCAATAACGGTGTGAGATAAAAAGATAAATGGAAGTAAATGATAAATAATAAATCCAAGGTTTTCAACTGAATGAATGACTGACCTTCATTGTGACTTTAGTCAGAGATTTTTAAACCATAACATGATCGATCCTGGGGTTTTTATGATGACGAAGTTGCTCTGATGCTCCTTAAAGCTGCAGTAAATTACTTTCATAAATTATTTTTTATGCATATTTCTTAAAACTGTCACTAAGAGTTGACAATATAAACTTACACAAATCTGTGTCAAAATCAGGCCGTTGTAACAGTGACCAAAGACAAACCAGATCCTGTTACTCACTTCAAAATAAGAGACTTCCTCTCTCAAAAATCAATCATGCTTTAATTAATGAATTACTTAATCATTAATTATGAACAATCTAGTTAGTAATTATGTAAATTACATTTGACATGTAACTGTAAATAAGTCACAACTATGTTTAATTTGGTTTAAAAGCCATTTTTTATACCTTTATATCTTTGGTAAAGACAGATTAAAACATCTTATCTTTATTATTATTACCTTTTGTTCTTTTGAAAAATTGTTTCAAGACCAGCATGATGAAGCGCCGACGCATCAGGATGCAGATTAATTCAAGAGTTTTCCTGTCAGTTTATTGAAGGAGTCAAAAACCAACTTTCTTTTCTGCTTTTCTTTCTGACGTCACATTTCTGTTCACATAGTAATTATACCTCGTCTTTTAATTAACTACTTAATTAATCATTAAAATAAATGTAATTCCTACTAGTTATTGGTTTAATAAGCATATAGATGGAATGATTCCTCTTTTCCAAATTAAATTAAATAAACTTCCATTTCAGTCAATTGAAGGTCTAAGAATTAAGAGATTTATCCGTCGGACTAATAATTAATGGACTTACAACAAAACAAAATATTTAATGAGACTAATACGATTATTGATGTGTTATTACCATTATTTATTTCTTAGGAGAAATCTTATAGCAATAGCAAACATGAAAGGTCCTCGAAGCAAATTGAAAACATTCATAAAGTTCTTAAACACGCGTCAAAAATGGGTTTTTTAATAAAAATATAAACTTTAAAAAGGAGGGGGAAAAAAGCACAAAAATTTAATCCACTCCTACAACTTTATCCACTTCCACGGGAAAAGTTCTAGTTTCTAAATAGAAAAAAATAAAATATCAAAGAACATTTTTACCGCCTCAAACTGCAAAACACATTTTTTCTCAGCAGCAGCAGCTTTGATCTAATTGTGAAAAGCTGAACATCAGACGGGAGTTAAAAGGGAATAATCAAAGCTCCAGTCGCAGAACTGGAAACTGCTAAATCTAAAGAGGGGAAGTGAATCGAGTTCGTGTGAAACTGAGGAATTATTTTCTGAATCAACACTTTAAAATTAACATCAACCTGGAGAACTCCTTATAATGTGATATATACTGATATTATTAATATTCCTGCTGTGGGAAAACATCTTAACAACCACACAATCTGCACAACTACAACTCAAATATGAGAGCAACCGTTTCCACAAATCCACTTACCTCTGCATGCCAAATGCTTAAAGATGACCTACTATGCTTACTTTATTCTTAGAAAATGAGATTTTAATCAGTCAATTGAGCTTCTAAATATAAAAATAGCAGATTATTCCAGTTAAAACAAGACAGTTTCCCAATAAGTGAATTGGTACTTTTTAATCAATATTAAGGAATTATGGATCTAAAACAAACTCAAACATTGTGTTGAAAAGTTACTTATAGGTTAGTTTATTTAAGCAAATATGTTAAAACTGTTTCTGCAGTAGAAACTGCTGAATGATCAGAGCAAGCAGCAACAGCAGAGCAGCATGAATGGTTTCAAATGTGAGTGAGAACTTGTCACTTCACAAGTACAGTCTCTGAATACCGCGTCAGTGATCGTCCTTTCTGATTCCCTCAGCGCTGCAGATGGATGCGAGCGGCTTCACATCTGCAGACTTAAACAAATTAATGCAAGAGACGCTGCATTACTTTCCTCGCCTTTGCTTGGTGTTTCACCACCACCTCCTGCTCTGCAGAGTAAAAGGAGCCTGAATGAAACGCAGCGAGGCTCATCAGGCTCCAGCTGACATCCTGCTGCTGCTTCCAGGTTGCAGGCATCACAGCCAGACTCGCTCTTTTCCCAGCACCCTGGAGACTCCCTGCGGTGACAAGTTACAACGTTTTCCACGCTCTGCGAAACGGGGGAAAAAAGCCCACATAATCATGCGGCTGGTGGCAGCAAAGAGCAAAGGATTGTTGTTGGTCGCGACTTTTAATTTGCTCACCTACACAGAAAACTGGGTCGGGAAAATGTTCCCAAAAGAAGAACATTTGCAACGTGAATAAAGATGAAATATTCAGACTTCGTCTCCTTAGAGATCCTATTTCTACACTTTTGTCATCATCAAACTAATTTTAATACAAATAAATCTGAGTAAATACAAAAAGAAATGTTTTCAAATCATGATTTATCTCTTTGAGTGGAAAAATATATTGAAATAAAATAAGGAAAATACAAATAATTTCCCCTTTTAACAGTTCCTTAAAGCGTTCTGTTCCCACATCAAAAACAAACCTGGAGTTTTGATTTGATTTTTTTCATGCATATTTGAGAAATCCTTTAATCTCCATGGCAACCATTGAGTTGAGCAAAACATCTGGGTGGACTTAGCCCCGCCTTCCAGACGCAGCTCCTTCTCAGAGCTTCCAATTCCCCACTGAGCTCCTTCAGACTAGCCGGCAGCGATTAGCAAACAGCTGCTAAGCTCATTATAGGAGCTGCTTCTCAGTTAAGTGCCCATAAAAACGTTGTTAAAGGGTTAATAGAGGAGCCATATTGTGATGCCTTCCTGAAGGCGGAGCTTCAGAAAGAGCAGGAGCTTCTTAAAGAGGCAGTGGCCTAATTTCAAGCAATCACTTTGCAAAGTCAAATTTCTTCTAAGTTATGTTTGATATAGTTGGATAGTAACTACTCACTTACATTTACTTGAGAAACCTTTTTTTAAAAAGTACTTTTAGGAGTATTTTACTACACTGCACTTTGACTAATTTTATTTTTGAAGTATTTCTTCTCTTACTTGAGTAAAATTTCTGGATTTTCTGGATAAAAAATGTTTTAACCAAAGATTGACTTACATATTTATATGAAGAAGTGGGAATCATCTAGTATCTATTTTCTTTTGCTGAAATAATGAACTTCTTGCAACTGAAGTTTTCCATGTGAATTATTGAAAGTTTTAATTGGATTTTCTTTGCAGAGCCGAAAAAGTTCCAAGTGCATCTATTCTCAGCGAGTCGAGTTTCCATTTATTTATGGAAATAGATGTCGCTTCTGAATTATTAAAACTTGTTGTTATGTTGGCACAGCTGAAAGCGGCAAATAATTATGTGTAATCTGTGATCTGACGTTAGAAGGCCTTGGAAGTTGAGGGGTATTTTTGACTGACTTGTTGGGCCGGTGGTCCGGGATGGTCCGGTCCAGAGAGATCCGGTCGCTCAGGTAGGCGTTGTAGCCGTACTTCTCCTTCAGGTACTTGGCGTCGTTCTCCTCCAGCGGGGAAAGCGTGGCGGCCAGGCCGCCCTTCCCGCGGCCGCCGAAGCCCTCGATCAGGCCCAGGGACTTGGACAGACCTGTTGGACCGAGGCGAAAGTTCAAAGGTTACAAACTGCGTCACGAAACGTTAGCATGAACAGAGTCACAGAAATTTGCTTTAGTGGTGAGAAGAAAAGCCTTTGTCTTTGTTTGTAGAGGAAGGAGAAAACTGGTTAGATGAGAGCAAAATCAAACTTTCTGATCACAACAAAACGTTAAATGTAGAGAAAAAACTGAAACTGTGACCCTACAGTGAAACACGGTGGTGGCAGCATCATGCTATGGGAATGTGTAGCAACAGAAGCTTGGAAGTTGAGAAACTTAAGCACTTTCAAGCACTTTTCATTTAACCACTTTAGCCTTTTTCACACAATATTTTAAATACATAAGATGCAAAAAGGAAATAATTAAATTCGTTTTTGGAAAAGGAAACAAATATTTTTTTCCTAAAATGCAAAAAATAGATCATTTCTAGAAAATATAAAACTATAATTAAAAATGTACCGACTACTGATCGGTTGATTATTTTCTGGGTTAATAATCTGATATTAAAAGGTTCTTAGTAGCTCGTTTTTTACAGAATTTGAATCAGGTGAAGCTAAATCTGCGACTTTATGAGTATTTACCTACAAACAATTTACTTTTTAATCTAAAAATGCAAAAATATATTTATTTTTAGTGCAGTTCTTTTATCAAATGTCCCTTTTAGAGTCTAAATACTTCAGTTAAGGGTTAACCAAGCACTAAATTAGCAGGTGATTATTTTAATAGTCGATTAATCAAGATTATTTAGATTAATCGTTTCAGAAAGTGAAAAAGAAAGCGAATTCATTTTACTGCCCAGGTGTTTTGTGGCATTGAGTTTGTTACCGTTCAGCTGCCGGTACACCACATCCTCCAGCGAGCTGAGCCTCTTCAGCAGCACCTCGTGGCTCACGCTGGGCCCCTGCGCCGTGCCGTTGGCCCGGGGCCGCCTCCCGTCAGCCGGAGCCTCCGGACCGGCCACCTGCACGCTGCGGGTGTTGCACTTGGCCCAGAAGGTCATGAACCCTGCGACCGCCAGCACGTTGAGCAGCAGTAACACCCTCCATCTTCTGAAGACAAAAGCCATGAAAAAGAGTTCGGGCGCCGGTCGGTTTTGGGTTTCAGGGCGGGCGGAAGGTCAGCTGATGCTCAGCGGAGATCTGGAGGCTGCGGAGACGTCTCACCGGGTGACATCAGCTGGACGGAAAGCCGCAGGGAAGCTTGAGCCGCCAGAGCCAGCAGTGCGCCGATGAGAGGACGATGTATCCGCCGCTTCGCTGTCCGACTCCGGGGTTATTTTAGGCTGCATGTCGCTGCGCTGGAGCAATCCGGGGCGCCGTCCGCCGCCTCTCCGCTGAAAACCATCCTCTGAAGATGCGAGACAAAGACAGCGGCGTGTGCGGAGCGCAGAGAGCAGATGAATAATTTAGGAGGAAGGAAAAATATCCGCGCTTTCTTTCCTTCTGGGGTTCCTCTCCCTTCGGCGGTGATGCGACTGAGATGCTGACAGATGCGTCAGGGAAATCCTTCTGAAGGTCCAGCCAGCATCTCCTCCTCCTCCTCCTGCTCTTCCTCCTTCAGATGCGCGGATGTTGAGGCGCGATCTGCAGCAGCATCCTGAGAAATTCACCCCGGAAACCGGCAGCAGCCAAAGCAAGAGCCAGAAATGAAAGCGACCTTCTTTCTGTCTCCGTCTCCCCTCTCCTCACATTTTGTCCCTCCCGGCTCTCAGCGTCTTCCTGTTACTCCTCGCCCTCTGCTCGTTCATTTCCTCTGGACTCGATCCGGGGACGTTTCCCTTCGCAGCAGCAGGTCGGGGAGGGGCGAGGTGTCTGTTCAAATCACACTGAGAGAGAAAATACTGAAACTTAAACTCCAATATCGCAGATAATCTAAGCCAGGGGTCTTCAAAGTGAGGCTCGGGGGCCGTTTGCGTACACTGGGGTGATTTTTTGTGGCCTCTAAGTGTAAATGACCTTATTAGTAATTTGTGTTTCCTCATTTAAAAACGAGTATTTGTTAACATAAGAATTTATGCTTTTATTTTGAAAGGGTTTTAAACGGAAGTGTGGTGAAGTGTGACGCCAACGTTAGACAATTAACTGACAATTAACTGCTGGTCATCGCGCAGAAAGAGCGCTCAGGTTGGAGTGAAGCTAATAAAGGAGTGGTTCAGATTAGAGTGTAAACAGTCAGTTGGTTGGCGCTTGGTTGATGGGAACAAGGTGAGAGTTTTTAATATGTAAATATATATTTAGTTTTACTGTAAAATGTGTAATTTGCTTTGGTGTGACGGTTGCGTTATTATACGGCACTAATATTCGTTGATTAACCGTAATAGTTAATATGTTGCACTTTATGACAGGTTTAATTACAGAATGTAAGAAAATTGATTTATATGTTAAAGTAAAATGTGAAAACAACACTGTTTGAGTTATTAATGTATTTTATTTGTATGTTCTGTAGCTCTTACGGTGTGTTCACAAAAAAAAAAGGCATTAAATAAACGTTGTGAACCATCAGTTTGAGAGACCATCCATTCAACCGGGACGCTACAGTAAGAGCTTGACCCAAGAGGAGTAAGAGCTTCACCCAGAGCTAAGAAAAAGTTCAATCCACCCTCAGCACCGAAGTCCCAGCGAAAGCCACATTAAGGTTCCAGCTCCACGGCTCCAAACAACGTCTTCTGGGATTTGATGGTCAACTTTATCACCCTGTCTTCACCATGGAAACATCTGAAAAGGAAACAGAGTACATCGAGGACCTACCTGTCAACGAGGAAGAGGAGCCTTCATGCTCTGTTCGTCAAAGGAGGCCCACAGAAAAAATGCGAGCATATCAGGAGGAGGAAGCCCACAAAAAGGAAAAACGTCTGCTCAAAGTTTTTGATCAATGGAAAAGGCAAGTACGTACGACAAGAGAACAACTGAAAGGAGACATAACAAACAGTCAAATTGCTTCACTCCTGGACATCTTAGAAAAGGAAAGGGATAGTGTCATAAAGTTATATACAGAAATAAGGGAAATCATTACTCCCTGCAGTGACACTAGGCGACTTATAGATGCATGCGAAGCGGTCACTAATGACATTATCAAAGTTGCATATGAAAGACTCTCAGGGATAGATGATTATGACAGAGGAAAAGTGAAGGCACGTCTACGTGAACTTCTTACTCCAGACTATGCTCAATCCATTTACAGTTCTTCCATGACACACTCAAGTAAACGCTCAGCTGCCAGTAACTCAAACTCTGCAAGGTCAATAGCAGATGTAAAGAGAGCAGAGGCTGCAGCAGAGTTGGCAGCCAAGGAGGCAGAGTATGAATTGTTATTAGAAGAAGAAAAACAAAAAGAAAGGATTCAGCTCTTGGAGGAAAGGCAGAAAAGGGAACTAGAATCTCAAAAACGTGAGCTAGAGAGATTAAAAGCTGAAAAGGAGTTAAAGGCAGCACGAGCTAGATTAATAACTTATGACCAGGAGATAAAGAGGGAAAGTAGTGTTCATCTTGACTGTACTAGAGCACATCAGAAGGCTTCTGTAGTTTCTGCTCCCATTCAAGTCCCTAACAGCAACATTGTGTCCACCTCGTCTCCACAAGCAGATGTTCTTTATTTAGCCCAAGCATTACAGGATAGTATCACAATGAACAGACTGCCAATGCCTGAGCCCTCCACGTTCACAGGTGACCCAATAGAGTTCATCGAGTGGAAAGCTTCATTTGTTGCACTCATTGACAAAAAGAACATCTCACCTGCAGACAAGCTGCACTACTTAAAGAAATATGTAGGAGGTTCAGCTCGACAAACACTTGATGGCATCTTTTACAGAAATGACGGTGATGCCTACCATGATGCATGGGAACGCCTCAACCAAAGGTATGGACATCCATTTATTGTACAGAAAGCGTACAGACAAAGACTGGCAAATTGGCCAAAGATACAAACAAATGACTCTATAGGATTTAGAACATTTGCAGACTTCATTCAAACATGTCATGAAGCTATGCCACACATAGATGGGTTAAGCATTCTCAACGATTGTGAGGAGAATCAAAAACTTGTTCAAAAGTTACCGAACTGGGCAGCTGCAAGGTGGAATCGTCAAACTACTCAGTACATGAAAGAAAATGGGAAGTTTCCAAGTTTAAAACACTTACTGAGTTCATGTCTTCTGAAGCTGAGATTATGTGCAATCCAATCACATCTTTTCAGGCTCTCCACTCAACAGACTTCACCAAAATCACCAGTAAAGCTTATCAGAAAGAAAAAAGGCCCAACTCCAGTGTTCTCCATACACAGGTTTTAACAGAAACAGAAAGCTCAAAACAAAGGTCAAATATTAAACCACCATGCATGCTCTGTCAAGATAACGGACACAAGCTTCATAGTTGTCCTCAATTCAAAGGAAAATCACTTGAGGAACGAAGAAAATACATAAAGGATGAAAGACTTTGTTACGGTTGTCTGAAACCTGGACACAGCGCAAAGGACTGTCGTTACAGACTTGCATGTGAAATATGCAAGAAAAAACACCCAACATGTCTTCATGACTTTAACTATGACAGCGACAAATCACAAACAAACCAAGTTCAAACGAGCACAGAACAAGCTGCAACAACCTTGTCTCTTAATGCAGAATCCAACGAACAATGTGTAAGCACTTCAATGATTGTGCCAGTATGGGTTTCTTCAGAGCAACAACCAGGTAATGAAAGGCTTGTTTATGCACTCTTAGACACCCAAAGTGACACAGTGTTCATTGACCAAGACGTTTCTAACAATCTCAAGGCTAAGTCAACCCAATAAGATTAAGACTCACCACAATGCTTGGTAAAAATGCAGTTGTGTCAAGTGAGCGTGTCTCAGGTCTCAAAGTGAGAGGCTACAACTCCTCTGAAATAATTGAACTCCCTCCTGCTTACACTAAAGACTGTATACCAGTTAATCGCTCTCACATTCCTTCCTGTGAAACGGCAAGGCAATGGAATCATCTCAAGGAAATAGTGAATGAGATTCCACCACAGCTAGAATGTGAAGTTGGGCTTTTAATTGGCTACAGCTGTTCCAAGGCATTAGCTCCAAGGCAGGTCATCTTAGGAGGAGAAGGTGAACCCTATGCTGTCTGCACAGCATTGGGGAGTATTGTAGGCCCCACATTGTCTCACAATGATTCTTTTAACATGTCTACTGTATGCCACAGAGTCACAGTCAAAGAGCTCCCTTTAATGCCACTGATGCACCAGAGGTTCTTGAGTCTGACTTTAAGGATGATAACAGGGATAACAAATCAGTGTCTCAAGATGATATTCTCTTTCTGAATATACTAAAGGAAGGCATTTATAAAAACAATGAAGGACATTATGAAATGCCACTTCCATTTAAGGAGAGACCTCTGTTACCAGACAATAAGCAAAATGGCCACTGTACGACTTCAAAGCCTCAAAAACAAACTGTCAAAGGACCAAAGATACAAGGATCAATATGTAAAGTTTATGAGCGAAGTCATAGAGAAGGGTGATGCAGAGGAAGTTCACAGCGAAGCAAAAGAAGGAGAAAGGTGTATTCCCCATCACGGAATGTGTCATCCTCAAGAACCAGACGAACTCAGAGTAGTCTTTGATACTTCTGAGCAAAATCCAGCAGATATTGCATCCAGAGGTTCAAGTGCAAGTGAGCTCATGTCATCAGACTGGTTCAAAGGGCCACAGTTTCTGTGGGACAAGGAAATCCCTCCAGCTGAAAGGATCGACATGAACTTACCACTTGGAGATCCAGAGGTTAAAAGGGCACATGCATTGAACACTTTCAAAACAGAGAAGAAAAGTTTGGCAGACAAGTTAACAAAGTTTTCTTCTTGGTACAAAGCCACTCAAGCCATTGCTCGACTAATTCGCTGTGCCAAAAGAAATAAAACAACAGGTCATAGCACAGTACAAGAAAGACAAAACGCTAAATGTGTTATTCTAAAGGATGTACAAGCAAATGAATATGCAGAGGAGATAAAAATGCTTAAACATGGAAGGGCACTTCCTCACAAAAGCAAGCTGTTTCGAATGGACACTTTTCTTGACAGTGATGGACTCCTTAAGGTGGGAGGAAGGCTGGATGATGCTTCCTTCTCTTCCTCAAACAGCTCAGAGCCATTGACCCCATATCACCTCCTCACCATGAAGTCAAAGGCAGCCCTTCCCCCTCCAGGTAAATTCATCAAGGAAGACATTTATGCACGGAAAAGATGGCGGCAGGTGCAATACCTGGCAGAGCAGTTTTGGTCACGTTGGAAAACATCGCAACAAGGCAGAAATGGCACACTCCAAAAGAAACCTGAAGGTTGGAGATGTTGTCATGGAAAAGATGGACGACTTACCTCGCAATGAATGGAGATTAGCACGTGTAATGGACATAGTAACTGATAAAGACGGACTTGTAAGAAAAGTAAAGATTCGTTTTGGAGAACGGAAGATGAAGAATGGACAATGTTCTCAGAAACTTTCTATAGTGGAACGCCCAGTTCAGAAACTGGTTCTACTATTAGAGACTGTTTAATTATAAGCAAAGTTGCATTCTTTCCTATGTTCTGAGTTTTCATAAAAGTTAGGTCATTTATTTTTAGGAAATCATTACTGCTCTATTATTTAGTTAAACTTTAATGATTTGGTGGGAGTGTAAATGACCTTATTAGTAATTTGTGTTTCCTCATTTAAAAACGAGTATTTGTTAACATAAGAATTTATGCTTTTATTTTGAAAGGGTTTTAAACGGAAGTGTGGTGAAGTGTGACGCCAACGTTAGACAATTAACTGACAATTAACTG